GTTCGTGTGTAGTCACCCGGGGGGGGGGGGGGGGCGGCGGGGGGGGGGGGGGGGGGGGGGGGGGGCTCACAGGAGGGTGAAGTTTGTGCAGGGATCTACGATCTGTTTCAGTTGTGATGAAAAACTCCAGGCCTGACTGGCTCTGCTAAAGCAAGCATGTGTATAAAACAGAGAGAGAGAAAAACACGACGGGGGAACAGGGGAGGAGCAGACTGTACTCTAGAGGGAGACATGTACAGTATATATTCCTTAGGTGAATGTGTACTTCTGTGAAGTTTTACTGCGTATTATCAGTTCAACCTGTTTCACTGTGTAAAATATAAAAACGGAACCAAAGCAATTGAAAATACATATACAAATAAATCAAAAGTTGAAGGCCAAAGTCATGGGCCACATTTAGGGAGGTTCACGGTCCAATCATAGCCCTCGAACCATATTTTGAGAACCCTGGTTTAGGGTGTAAAGTAAAGGGGCAAAAACCTTAAAATTTGTTTTTAGACCCTGATATGAAGATATAACGACCACCAGAGGCGATGGATGTCATTGCACCTCTTTGAAAGTGTGTCCAATTTAATAAGGTTATATTTTCACGACTGCCCTTCTGTCTCGATGGAAACTGAGATCCGATCATTGGGAATATTTTGTTGGAAAAAGAAAAAAGAGAAAAGTAGTATAGGAAAAGAGGATACTACAGTACCACCTTTCTTACATGGTAACAGTTTCACCTTAAAAACCCCTCTCACCCCAACATTCAGAGATTTTCTGCTCTGGATCTTGTTTTTTTTTTATTGAATTCAAACCTGTTCTCTACTTTTTTGAGTAATGCTGCTCACGAAGAGACAAGCAGGGCAGAAAATTAACCTCCCCGACGAAGGTAATGAAGGGTAGTAATGGGTTTTACTCAGTCGTCGTTGTGGAGGAGGAGGTTTTTTGTGTTCAATTCACATTTTGGTTTTGGGCAACACTTCAGAGGATGTTGGATGTTTTCAGTTTCTGAGGAATTTGAAATGTGAGGCCAGTTTGTAGAAAAATAGATTTAGTTAAAAAATGTAATCTGTTTAAATCCTGTGCACAAAGCAATCCGTCTCTGATTCACTGTTGGTCATTTTTTAAATTTGTTTTTAGGTGGACGGAGGTCCAAACCATCACAAATTTACAAAAATTAAGAATCCTAGTCAGCTAAAATATTTGCCATACTTTTACTTGGAAACTAATAAACATGGTTGAATGAGTTGTTTCTGTTGCTTTTAAATATGGGCCTCTGATATGACTTGAAATAAGTCTTTCTTGGCTCAGAAGTCTCATAGCTGATCTTGGACCTGCAGACGCCACAGAGGAAATTCATTAATTGCACTATTTTTCACCTACGGTTCTGTTCGTCCATTTGGAACCAGACATCTGGATCGTCCGTCAGTTTTCTCTGCCCATTGTCTGCCAGTGTTTGGACCTCCCCTGCTAAGCTCATCATCGTCTCTGTCTCTGCCATCTAAGCCTTCATCCTCTGACTGTCGTTCTTTTGTGGGGTGTCTCTGAGCAGCAGCCTGACCATCTGTGCACCAGGATGGCCCAAAGCCATTGCTACCAAACCCCTTCCTTTTCTTCCTCACTTCTCTGTGTGTCCTCTCTGCACTTGCTCTTGGTTTTAAAAACAGTTTTCTCCAAAGTGAAGCTTCCTCTTCCTCTTCCTCACCATAAAAATCCTCTCAAATAACGGTTTCAGCTCAGTGAAGCTGCAACCTTCTCCCTCCATCAGCCCCTGGTGTCGCATGCTGTTTTTGCAGGAACTGGTGATGTGTGATCTATCTTCATTAGACCCCCTCCCCCCTTTCCTCCCCTCCCCCCTCTCAGTCCCCCCAGCCCCTCCTCCAAACGCTGAAGACATAATGGAACATTTTATCTTTTATTACACGCCTCTACAGATCTTACAGCCAAATTGCTATTGTTGTTTTATTGTTATTATCATCAAAATAGCTTCAGGTCTTTTTTTTTTTTTTCATCCTTTGCTCTGCACCGTTTGCTCCTTTACCGTTGTTTTTGATGAACTCTGTTCTCTTCGCCTCTTTCTCCCCAGCTCCCTGTTCGGCCAACACGTTTTTCTGCCACAGCAACATGTGCATTAACAACTCCCTGGTGTGCAATGGCGTTCAGAACTGCGTCTACCCATGGGATGAAAACCACTGCAAAGGTGATTGACTCCTTCAGCCACCGACTCCTAATTGAAGTTGTTATGGTTAATTTAATTTTCATATTACCCCCCCCCTCCCCACCCTCTCATCTCCTCCCGCTGCAGAGAAGAGATCGAAGGGACTCTTCCATCAGATCACCAAGACCCATGGGACTGTCATCGGTGTCTCCTCAGGCATAGTCCTGGTTCTTCTCATCATCTCCATCCTGGTCCAAATGAAGCAGCCAAGAAAAAAGGTATTTTGTTCTGTGTGACACAGAAGAAGGAGAACAGATATACTAAGAGAAGAGGCAGATAATTCAAAGGGTTCCTAGATGTGATGGCGTCACATGTAGCTATGGAGACGGTGGAGGAAAAACATCTTTGTGTTTCACAGCATCACAAACCCTAACAACCGTAATGCAGTCTGAGACCAAAGCCGTGTCTTTTAAAGGTTGTTTTTTTCTTTTTCTGGTCACATTAAACTGCATCATCTCTTTTACTCTGGTGCACAGTTTTCCAGTCCTGTCCCTGTGTTTGATCTCCGGTCTATTGAACTTGGGAAAAATATTTATTTAGGCTTTTCTTTTTTTAACAAATTCTTCCTCTCTCTGGAAGTTTAATGCTGGAATCTCTGGCTCAGCTGCTCGGCACGCCACTGAGCAGATGGTGTGGCAAAAACTCCTACACTACAATTTCATGAAATGAAATCACCAAAAGGTGTTTTTTTGTTTTGTTTGCATAGCACGTCAAAAATTACAAATGTGGTGCCAAAAAAATTCATATGACAAAATCCTGCGTGGCGTGAAAATTGATCTGGTGTTAATTTTTCACCATCCCCGTGCAGAACATGGCGCGGCGTGAAAATAAAGTTTCAGTGATCGTTTCAGAGCCGCACAGTTGTCGTTCTCCCATTTAACTCCCACTGGGTCCAAATAGAAGGAGCAGATGCACCCAACTGAGTGACCATGATTGTGTTCATCTCAGAATGAGACGCAGCCAGACGCACTACTGCTGCTTTGTTATGTTGGAGGAAATGAAGGGAAGAAAAAACGTCTGTCACGGCTCCTTTGGTTAGATACTCTGAGAACAAAGGCAGAAACAGAAATGACTTATTTTTTGTGTAACACCCTTTTACAAATCGCATTTCTTAATTGGGAAAAAACATACATTTTAAATTGCACCTGCCTTCGTTTCAGGTATTCCAGCTGTAACTATTGGTGATTTGTATTTTTTTGTGACACATTCGTCTCGTCTTGTGTGGGAGTTGATGAGGTTGTCTGTCAGGTGGGGGTCACGAGGCAGGTCAAACATCAAAGTCATATGTATCATTATGAGCCAGCTGTCAAAGAAGCAGTCGTTTTCTAACCCGTTGGAGGCGTGAGACGTTATTAGCCGTCAGTCTCTCTCCTGGACGACTTGTCGTGTGACGCAGAGACAAATGTAAACAACCCTATAGTGGGAGGTGATGTGGAAGTGAAGACTCAATCAGCCTGTCAAGTCAGTTGCAAATATTTTGACAGAAACATGTTTATATTATTATTTATACACTAAAATAAATAAAGGTTTTCTTATTCACTAAATACACTCGCTCTGAATATAATACGTATCTGTTTAATCCTGTTAAGTGAACTGCCTGGTAACAAATCATTTCAGAACTTGCTGTTCTTATTGTAAAGACTATTAAAAAAACCTTGGTAAAGGTTGAAACACTGTACAATAACAGGGCAGGTCTGTAAGGTTGACCTTTGTCCTCTGAAAGCTGCTGGCTGTGTGGACATTTTCTGCTAAAACGTAACGATGACTCCAGTGTTATTGTTGTTCACCTTGCTGACTGTTCAGGTTTGAAAACAAAGGCGTCCGTGCAAAAGTCGTAAAACCTCACACCGTAAGAGCGAATAAAACTTTTAGGAGCATTTCATGGGAACCATGTGACCTCCAGCTCCAGGCTTCTTTGAAGGTGTTTTCAAGACCAAGGCAGAATTTTGAAACGTATCCCTTTAACTGTGTCTGACTTTTTCAAATAATCCCAGACGATTGTTCCTTATAATCTGAATCTGCTCACTTTTTTTTCCAAGGTCGTTGCTCGTCGTCCGGGGGTTTTTAACAAAGCTGGACTGCAGGAGGTCTTCGATCCCCCCCACTACGAGCTTTTCTCCCTGCGAGACAAGGAGGTTTCCTCCGACCTGGCTGACCTCTCGGAGGAGCTGGACAGTTTCCACAAGCTACGGCGCTCCTCCACCATGTCCCGCTGTGTCCACGAACACCACTGTGGATCACAGGGCTCGGTGGCCACTGGCGGAGGCAGCATGAAGCACAGTCGCACCACTCTCAGCTCCATGGAGCTGTCCTACCACAATGATTTCTCCAAGCAACCTCCCATGAAGACTTTCAACTCCACGTCCAGCTACAAGAAAGGCTGCTACGGATACAAGCAACACGCACAGACTCACGATTGTGACCAGCAGGTCATCGAGGACCGCGTCACTGAGGAGATTCCCTGTGAAATCTACGGACGAGGTGCAGGGGATAGAGGAGGAGCCGCGGGCGGTGGGGCGATGGGGGGAGCATCCGGGATCTCGGGAGGAGGGATTGGAGGGGCCGTGGGTATAGCGGGAGGAGTAACGATCCCTGAACGAATGGGTATGTCTGGAGCAATGGGTATGCCAGGTGGAATGGGTATGTCTGGGGGTATGTCCGGTGGCGTGGGCATGTCTGGAGGGATGGGTATGTCAGGTGGCGGGGGCATGTCTGGGGGTATGTCAGGTGGCGGAGGCATGTCTGGAGGCATGGGTATGCCAGGGGGAGTGGGTATGTCTGGGGGTATGCCAAGTGGAGTTGGTATGTCAGGGGGCATGAGCATGGCTGGGCCAAGTGGAATAGCTGGAGGTATCACCAGTGGGATGGCGGGGGCCTGCGGAACCCTCACTATTCGTGGTAACAGTGCTCGTAACAGCACCACCATAGTTGATCCACAGCAACGCTCCATTTCCATGGACTTCTAGATAAAGGGAGAGCGATCGAGGCCGTCAGACTCTCATCACGACAAATGACCAAAGAAGAGAACGTCGGAGTCTCAGTGGTTTTAAACTGATCATTCCTGTTGTTTCTTCTGACATTGGTATCCCAACAACCTCTCTCCTCCTCTGTCGTCAGTCACATGGGGAAGTTCAGGAAAAATAAAAGACAAAAATCTTGAATTGGGGGATAAAAACTGGGGAAAGACTTAGTTCTCTTCTTGTAAAAAATAATAATAATAATAATTGCAGTTTTGTGGGCGGAGCCCACCTCTAACGTCCACTCATAGAAATGTTCCCTCACCGTGGATTTACTGAAGACTGTTTTCGCATGCAGGTCCTGACTTGTCTTTGCTGGTTACCTAAAAGACAAGGACACCACTCAACTGCAGGACGAGGGAAAGTCGGGGAGACTGCGTTTATTCATTTACTCACCTGTCACGCACAGATATATAGTATACGATATATAATGTGTCTGCTAATGATTTATTTAACTCCTAATTTTCGTCAGTGAATTGTAATGTTAGAAACGAGTATATATCCAGCCACATAATGACGTTTGGCTTTTAGCTCTATGATTATTTGTTTTTAGTTCTTAATACATTATGAAACCACACACGAGAGGTCTGATGGTAAAGAGGAGATGTAATCAGACAATAATACAATACAAAAAAAAAATCCTTATAATTCAATAATATAGCTTGTGAGGTAATTTGTTGTATTTCCAGTCTCTCCTCAGGAAGAGCACGACAGAATTTACTTGGATTAAAAAAAAAAAAAAAGGTAAAAAAATGACTCTGTCTGTGCTCTGTCAGCATTAAAGCATACGGGCAATAAGTTTTTGTATATGATTTATAAAATGTTTGGTCGTCGGATCTAAACGGAATTCAAACGATTGGTCTCCGGATGTCCACTTTCACGTACAGGAAGTGTGTAACCACGCACTTCTCTTATGATACTGTGTGTTCTGAACAAGCACAAGCAGTTTTTCTATCCAAAACAGACATGTAGCCTGAGTGGGACTCATTTATTCTTTTTAACCAATAGCCGTGTAATTTCATTCTGTTGAATTAAATAAGATCTTAATCACCTCCTAGTCTGAGCTTGGGTTATTACTGTGACAGATTTAAACCTGACCTTTTGACCTTGTGGACCTTGTTGCCTGTAACTATTCAAATGAAAAAGTTTTATTTCCTGTTATGGGTCAGTTAAAATAATTACAACCAAAAAACAAATTGAAAAGTTAGAATTATTTAATACCTCTTCCAGAGAAAAGATTTTTTTTGTCGAATTTTTAGGTTAAAAAAAAAACCTGCAAACCTCTTTATAATAGATTTATAAATACTATTAATGCAGGGAGCATTTCCAAACTGAGGAAATCTCTCTTGACTGTCAGATATCCTTTGCACCATTCACCTTACACTCTCATTCACACGGTTTTCATTTTCTTCTCGCTGTCATGCTGCATTTATTGGACCAAACGCTTATGGCATCCTTTTAAAATGTCAACTCCTCACAGCCATGGCCATTATTCTGTGTCGATGTGGCCCTCCTTGACAAGGTTACTTGTAGTCCCTGATATTTCAAGGTCTACACACCCACCAGACATCACCCAGGGCTGCAGGGCTGGGGAAATGTTACAGAGAGTTGATAGTTGATACTATTAAACAAAATGGCCAAGACATTATCCTCATTACGTATTTTTATTCCCAACCACTCTACTGTGGAAAATTATCCAATTTAACGTAATTGGTCTATTATGTATTTACTGCAAATAAATTTGTCTTTGTTTGTCAAATATCACAGTGATGGGCTGAACAATTAAGTATTCTTCCACTAGGTGGCAGCAGACGACAAAAAAACTACAAAAGAGAAATGATTTACAGCTGTTGAGAAGGATTCTTTCTTTCTTCAATTCCTGCAAGTGAAGTCATGTTGTGTTCTACTAAACAGGACAGTGTTCAATAGTGAATGGGTCAAATTTTGAAAGTTGAAGTTAGGTGATTATTATATTTTACTATTGTTTGATGGTGTTTTGTTGTTCAAAAAACAGTGCTTTGAGGTGTATTTCACTATTGTTTGATGGTTTTTATATGTGTGCTGTTGTTCAAAAAACAGTGCTTTGAGGTCATGAAAGGTGTCGTCTACAGAGTCCTTTCTACTTGTTTATAATTTACACTGACAGGCGGGTAATTCTCTGACACTGGACAATACTGGTCATAAAAGAGTCCTTTCTGATTCTTTATAATTTACACTGACAGGCGGGTAAACACTACATCACTCCATCCATTACATACGTAATACAGATTAAGAGACTACGCAGAGACTAATTATACTGACTCTAAAGACAAGAATGTTAGGACACCAACTAATCACAACGCCAGTTTTTTTTATTTAAATATTTGTCACTAAATAGGAATGAAGCAGAAATTGAAATACTAATATGTTGACTGTGAAGACGAGCTAGAGTTCAGATAGTAACATAATAAAACACAAATCCTCCTTGAATCCTCCTTGTATAATTTGCATTTGCAACGCCCTCCTCCGATGTTGACACACGAACGCCGGGGGCCCACTGACAAATATAGTTAGTGAGCTCAGATTTACACCTTGTTTTAAACTAGTGACTCACACACACACACACACACACACACAGTGAGTGATGTAATTGCTTTACAAACTGCCGCATCATACTTGTTTAACATTCACATGATGAAATCAGGTCTGTAATTTTTGACCTTTGACCTTTGACTTGCATAATTTCACATAAACCACTGTTTGCAAATTTGTTGAACACCAAAAATTATTTTTCATTTTAGCCAATCTGGTGTTTTTGGTCTAATAATAGTATAAAAAAAGACACAACATATAGAGTTAATAGGTATGTGCCCGTGGCTCAATATGGGGCACAAGATGTCGAGGTACCGCCGAGGTCTGATTGTATGAAAGAGGCCTCTCAGCCAGAGTAAGGCACATGTCCAGATAAGTGTGTGACTGAACATGCCCTTGAGCATCAGCTCACCACAGGGAGCTTATGAGTTGTTGTCCATGACAGATTTCTGCCACCCCCCTCTGACCCCCCTCCGGGTTTTTTGGCACCACGATCGTCAGAACAACACTGCCTAAGAATATTACACGGACATTCTGTAAACGCAACAAAACAGTCGGAGCAGCCAGGTCCCCTCTGTAGAGACAGACAAATGTCCAGAATGTGTTCAAAATGTTGAGCTTAAAGCAACTTTAACTGGTCAACTGTCAAACTCAATCAGGCAAAGGGACGGAATGTAAAACGCAGTCTAAGTCGAACAAAATCAACATATTGTGGGAGTTTTGTGATCTTGATACTCTGCACTTTATTAGATAGTCACGTCCATCCAGAAAACATAAGTACAGACTCTTTATAATGAACATTAATTTTAAGACAATCATAGTGTAAAAATCTCTGGCGGGCCACATTTATCCCACTGTCCTTGAGTTTGAATTATGTGGTCCAGAGTATACCCCAGTTGAAACTAGTACTACTGTTTTGTTTGGTTTTTTTTGTAATGATCTTTTCGTGCCACTTGACATCCCTAATGTTGTTTTTGTGCCTTTTATCTGACTTCCTCTTCTTCTTTGAGGTTCCATGGCAGTTGCCCTCCTTTGGTTGTGGTCTGGTAATTTTGCTAATGCTACCAACAGAGAAGGTACAGCAATGCAAAATACATTTTTTTATTTAATGTATTCATGTATGAAAAAAAGGGAAGAATCCTAACAGGGTCAGTAATGCAACCTCACTGAGACCATTTGTACTCACCGTTTCAAGGAGGGAAAAGTAACGAAGGATCAAAGAAACAAGAAAACAGAGGACAAAGGGGAAAGACAGTAATGCAACATCAAAGAGAACGACACTAAAAACCACCAACAGCAAATAACGGTAATGTGGAAAAACGATATTATCACTGTCTAGTCTTGCATTTGACGTGCAGATTGATGTGCATATTGAGAAAGTGTTACAAAATTTTGCAATTTTATAACTGCTTTTTTTATTTTTATTTTTATACTTATTGTGACATGTCTATATTAATTAATCTATTCATCTGCAACCGTGTTAACATATCAGTGATTGTGAGGGTAACTAAAGCCATCCCATGTGTCTTACAAGAAGAAGGAGAACAAGAAGAATAAGAAGAAGACTTAAACACAACAAAACAAAACAATAAAACAAATCACAAAATTCATAGGCACAACAGGCACACGTAGGAGCAAAATAATAAAAGAAAAATAAAACAGCCTATTTAGTCTCACTCAAGTTTTATTAGCCAAGCACATAGATGAACTGTTTTATTGGGCATGGTGTTGCAGTGCAGCGTGCTACCAAAGACAATGGAATTGAGCTCACTTTGCTGAAATGAAGCTCTCTGAACTTCATCATACAGTATTTTTATATATATATATATATATATATGTTTTTATATAAATATTGTCCAGCACAGTTTGGAGATCCTGGGGCTTAAAAGAGTAAGTAAGCTGTCATGCTACATTCCCACAGCCGGGTGGCAGCAGCGAACGCATGCGTCTGAGTTTCCGGAAACGAAGACACGAGGCAAACGAACCATTTTTCACCGGCTTCTGTCTTTGTCCGTCCACCTATCCGCTGTTCAACATCTACAGCTGAACCATGGCCAATGTCAGCGATACAAGACTGTACGACATCCTTGGAGTCTCCCCGTCTGCGTCTGAAAATGAACTTAAAAAGGTTAGTAGACAAAAAAAAAAAAAAGGTAAATAAAACGACATGTGTGTTCAGAGTTTCCAGGAAGTGCGTTGCCATGAGTAGCTAACTTATGGAGCAGCCGCTAACCAGCGGGCCTGCGTGCTTGTATGACGATGCGGCCCAAACCGCCTCACAATTATGGTTTTTGTCAATTTAAAATATATTTTACTCAGTTTTTTTATAACTCAGTAACATCTAATCACACACAATGTCGTTTATCACAATCTTGGTGTGCGTTTTCATGAGTCAAGCATTGGACTCCACGTTAGCTTTAGCAATGAAAGGTGAATTAACAGTGGTTGGTTGTGTGGCGGTTGTCAGAAGAGCCTGTTTCTGTTTCTGACTCGTTCAAGTCTTTTTACCCTTAACTGTGTCATCACAGACATGTTGGAAGAGAGTTCCAATCGTAATGGATTAATTTATATGCCTAATCCTCTCTTAAGAAGGCGTTTGTGTTCGCATAGGCTAACATCACTTTATCGCGTCTGTCGTCATGTCGCTTTTATATTGAAGGACGTTTTTTTCTATCGCTGTAGTAAATACATATTGTTGTCTTAACCTGAGTTTTGTGACTTGGATATATTTTTTTTTATTCTCGCCCTTTCTAAATGTTTACGCAACACCCAGGCATTGTCTGTGGAGGTGCTAATTAGCATACGTACAGTTAGCCATTATTGTAACAACAAACACACCGAATTTAGGGGACAAAACGGATAAAAGGGGGGAAAATACTATTCAGTGTAACGGAGAACTCTAGCGCTGTTCTTTCGGTCTGATGACATAATCATTGATCAAGGTTCTTCACGTGTGTTTGAGTCACGCTCTTGTAATTCCAGTAAATATGAGGTCTACGAATGTTCAGAATTCGCTGCTTAAGTTGTCTTTATCGTTTCTCTCCAGGCTTACCGAAAACTGGCAAAAGAATATCACCCTGACAAAAACCCAAATGCTGGTGACAAGGTAAGGTTTGTTGATTAATGGTTAAATAATTTGTTTCCACGCCAGTCTCACTAATGATAGAACATGATTGTGATGTTCCTCCCAGGAAGTGATCTAGTTTTGCCACTGATACACATAAATTACTCTGTATTTAAAGCTTAGCTTCTGCCCATTAGAATATTATATTGACATTTGTGCGAAACTGTAGGTCCAGATCTTTGTATTATAGGATTTTTTTTTTCTCGACATTGATTGAAAATTATGTTCTGTCCCCTTTCAGATCTTTGTATTATAGGATTTTTTTGATTGAAAATTATGTTCTGTCCCCTTTCAATATAGTTTAAAGAAATTAGCTTTGCCTATGAGGTGTTGACCAACCCTGAAAAGAAAGAACTTTATGACCGCTATGGGGAGAAAGGGTTGCGGGAAGGAGGTGGAGGTGGTCCCGGTATGGACGATATTTTCTCCCACATCTTTGGTGGTGGACTTTTTGGCTTTCCCGGTGGGACCCGGTCCAGGAATGGAGGCCGTAGAAGAGGAGAGGACATGGTTCATCCACTTAAGTAAGTCCATACTCCTTCAGTTGTTTTAATCAGGTTTTTTTTTGTATTAATTAAACACTTGTGAACATTTAGATAGTGAGGAGTTCTTCTACTTCTTTGTGTGAATATCTAAACTTGTCACTTTCTACAGGGTTTCACTGGAGGACCTTTACAATGGGAAAACAACTAAACTACAGCTTAGCAAAAATGTCCTGTGTAGCAGTTGTAATGGGTGAGTTTTCTGCTCCTTGTTGAGGTTTGACTGTTGTTACTTAAAATGGATTTTGTTGGTTTAATCAAATTTTTGTTGGCGTATTTGTGTTGATGCAGGCTGGGAGGCAAGACAGGTGCTGTACAAAAATGTACAACCTGTAGGGGGCGTGGCATGCGTATCATGATCAGACAGCTGGCTCCAGGGATGGTCCAGCAGATGCAGTCTGTGTGTACTGACTGTAACGGTGAAGGTAAGAACGGAATAATTAATTGTCTGTGCCGAGCGGTTGTTGTGGATGTTGAACGCACTTCATCTTTGTTTTCTTCTCACGCACCTCAGGTGAAGTAATCAGTGAGAAGGACCGTTGTAAAAAATGCGAGGGCAAGAAGGTCGCCAAGGAGGTGAAGATTCTGGAGGTACATGTAGACAAAGGAATGAAGCAGAACCAGAAAATAACCTTTGGAGGAGAAGCTGACCAGGCACCTGGCGTCGAGCCTGGGGACATAGTTATAGTCCTGCAAGAAAAAGAACATGAGGTGGGTTAGTTGTCTGCCCTGCTGCTGTGACCAGATTTGTCTTCACTGCCCTCTGTGTCTTCTGTGCCGCATGTGTTATAGAAGTACATTCATTACTTGGGATGCACTTCTGCTTATGTCATGGATTTATTTGTCATTTAACTTAATGTTGTGCCTGTGTTAAATGCAATTTTTTGAACCTCCCTACAGTTTTCTACTGCCTTTAGTTTTGGGACTTTTTTTTTATTATTTGGGATTCTTTTGCTCCAGTGGGACACTTTTAATTCAGCCAAAATAGTTCAGTTAGCAGGAGTCCAAACCCATGCAGACCTGAGTCAGTGATGAGGAAAGTCTCACGCCGTGCACAGCTGCTGCTCAGATGTTAGTTGGTCTTGTGTGCTTTACGTTGACTTTTTGTTTTAGTAATTTAGTTTTACATAAGAAAACAAAACAGTCAGGTGACAGTTTAAACAGGTTTTGTCCAGGCCAACGGTCAGTTAACAGATGTTTGTCCAGTGCTGTGGTCAGACAGATTGCCAGTCCGACAAGAACAAATCTATAATGGCTTTTTGTTGACTGTATTATATGTAGTAGTAACAGTTTATACTGAGTCATTGCTGTTCACTCCTCTGGTGTCTATATTTGGGCTTTCACGTTGATGGAAAGGTTCATGTGAGAGTTTAATTGACTTTTTACAAAGTAAAGTAATTTTAGCTCAGCTGTGTTGGTGGGCCGGGCAGAGCTGATGCCTCTGGCACCTCGGCCCCAGAGAGATTTTTTAATTATTGTCTCCAACTGACATTCTGACAGCAAAGTAGGTTACCAGGAATGGCAGCAGCAAGACATGTTGATTTAAAAAAAAATTATATATACAGTATATGAGATGTGTCCTTCAGATGAAAAGACGCAAGGATTTTTTTTTCCTTTAAAAAAAAAGTTTTGTGAGAGAAACTGAACAGACCTGGTTTCATCATCGTGCCCTGTTGACTGTTTGGTTCATTCAGTTCAACATGTTTAAATTTAACCCTGTTTTTGTCACTTTGTGTTTAGATATTCCGGCGAGAGGGCAACGACCTTTTCATCACCCACAAGATCGCCCTGGTGGAGGCGCTGTGCGGCTTCCAGTTCATGCTGAAACACTTAGATGGCAGACAGATTGTTGTCAAGTACCCTGTTGGCAAAGTCATTGAGCCAGGTAAGAACTCACTTCAGACCTTGTGTTGTAGACGGGCTGTGAAGTTATTGATCATGATTGGTCTGGTAAACTGAACTTCTTGCTAAATTGGCTGCAGACATGGGCAATAGTGGCAAAAAATAAAAAATAATTCCGATTATTAAGGGCATTTTGCGATTAACAATTAATAGATACAAATTCAACTTGCATGTTTTTAATTTTTGACAGTCAAACAAACGTCTTTATTTTAACAGGTTAAAGTAGTAAGATGTGATTAGTGACCAGTCAGCCATATTTGAAATGTGTAAACATTAAAACTGTATTGATAACTCTTGTAACACAGACGCATTAAAATGAACCAGGACAAATAAGTGAAGGAAATAAGTGACAGCAGTGATTTTCAGTTTGAATAAAAGTCTGTTTGTGCTTTGCTCCATCTTTTCCAGGCTCAGTGAGGGTGGTGCGAGGAGAGGGCATGCCACACTACCGCAACCCTTTTGATAAGGGAGATCTCTACGTCAAGTTTGAAGTACAGTTCCCAGAGAACAACTGGATCAGTCCTGAGAAACTTGCGGTAAGATATGTTACGCTACACTTTTACACAAACACAGCCAGAGTGGAAACTTGGATATAGACATGAGATGGTGATGTTATGACAAAATCAAAAAAGTTTTTGTTTTTATTCTTGGATGAGAAATAAACAGACCGGATTCTCAACGATGTTAAAGGACAGAAGTTATAAATAACTTTGCTGCTTCAAATGATCTGCATTCATGTCACAGCTCTTATCTTATCTTTTCGCATCACATCATATTTTTTTTCCATCAATTACTATATAATGTAAGGTGACCCCATTCGAATTTCAGATGACCCCACATGTGGTTGCAATCCCAAGGTTGAAAAACACTGTCTTACACACCCTGCTTGTATACCTTAAGTGCAGCTTACTTTTCATTCTGGCAACACTGGCCATATGGCGTGTCTCCATGGTCAGATGACCAATGAGGTCATCTGTTAAATCCACGTAGTGATGAATGTTCTAAATGCACAGGAGCTGGAGGACATGCTGCCCTCGAGGTCAGAGCCGCCGATGATCACCGCAGACACGGAGGAGGTGGACCTGCAGGATTACGACGCCAGCCAGGGCTCATCATCAGGTCGCAGAGAGGCCTACAACGACAGCTCCGATGAGGAGGGCGGACACCACGGACCGGGCATGCAGTGCGCCCACCAGTAACCTCATTCCACCAGTTGTGCATACTCAAACACACACATGCAGACACAGGAACCACATTCTACTTTGTGAAAAAAAGAAAAGAAAATTAAGTACGAGCTGCAGTGTAAACAAATTTAAGTTCATACTGAAAAGACTCTTTAGGTTCTGAGGCCTAGAATTAACTGTTGTTATGAAACCCCAGGAATATTGTGGATTACTGTTTTACCAACTATGAGTTACAGATTATTCTCATTAATGTGTGAGGCTACTTGAGGTAGTATAAATTCACCTGCACCTCACAGCGATGTTTAAATCCCAAACAGCAGCTTCAGAGAGACGATACGTGATTAGTTTCTAATCCGATGTCCGTGGTCATCATCGTGTCCAGTGTGACTGAGATCGGGTGTTCAAATGCAACCTCTCTCCTCCACAACTCCCAACCGGCTGTTCCTCCGTCAGCCTCCTTCGTTCCCTCTTCAGTCCATTCCCTCTGTGCTAATGCAAAGATCAGATCAGAAAAAAAAAGTTCTTGTTTGCAGAGTGTGTGACTTCGTTTTCCTTGTATTTACCGTACAATAATTAATTAAAACGAATATTGTGTATACACAGACAAAGCAGCCAAGCAATGTGACACAGAAATCTGTGAAGTTGTTTTAGTCATGGATTTCTTTCTTATCTTGACAGCTTTTTTTCCCATTGTAGGTTTTTACTTGTTTTTTGTTGTTTTTTTTCTGCCTTTCTTAATATTTTATTTAGACGTCTGTTTATTGTTTATATCGCTGGACTGGTTGTTTGAAACTGTTTCTGCTGCTGCATTTGACACTGATTTTTGAGACAATACAAAACCCCGGCCCGTATCTGTGCTGGGACCATGTGCATGTAAAAGGCTTTGGTTCTGCAGTTAATGAACATCTGTCAATTCAAACAGCGCTCTTCTTAAAGAAAAAATGTCTATAAGGATGTTGAATAAAATGTTCAAATATTTACGACGTCTTCTTTTTCCTTTACTTTCTCACAACATATCGTCAATCCTATAGTGGTTGAGCTTTATTAATGCCTTTAATTTTGCTTTAACCACCACAGTATGAAAACATGCAATAACACAGGAAGAACACCTGTTTTGGTGAATAGGAGATGTATTTATAATATACAATTTCATTAATTATACAATGTTGTTCTGACATCTCTCAGACAGAACAACGCAGACAAACTGAGACAGACAACAACTCCATTGACTCTGATTACACTCGACCCAAATCACACCGACGACCTGCACTGTTTACATTAATGACTCAGGCATCAGATGCTCAACACCTGGGCTTTTCAAACAGCCAGAGCTTCATAGTTGAAGTTGACTTATTATTTGTTTAAAAATTATCCACAAAGACCACTGTGTCTATAATTGTTTGATAGAGCAGGATGAGACACATCAAAAATAAAGGTTAAAGTGTATCCGCTGAAGCAGGGGTCTTCAAGGACCCTGCGATTGATGGGCAGACGGTCCTAAAGCCGGATGTAACTGTTTGATAGAGCAGGATGACACACAACAAAAGTAAAGGTTAAAGAGTATCCGCTGAAGCAGGGGTCTTTAAGGTCTACCCGGGCAAGGACCCTTCGACTGATGGGCAGACGGTCCTAAAGCCGGATATAAATGTACATTAAATTAAATCAGCAAAAAAAAAAAAAAACCTTCGCCTGCCCTCTGTTGAGTAAACACGCAAAACAAGATCAGACTTTTGTGTATATATTCTTTAATTTTGACGAGTTGGACACGCGGCGCCGTGGCTTAGTTGGTTAAAGCGCCTGTCTAGTAAACAGGAGATCCTGGGTTCGAATCCCAGCGGTGCCTTTTGGCGGGGTTTTTTTTAAAACATTTTTTTCACACAGAACTGATGTGATTAATATACTCGCAGGTGTGTCATTCAGTTTAGTTTTCCGGCAACATGCTACGCGCTACTGTGACGTAAGACATTATAATATGAGAAAAAGCGCTCCAGGCCAGCAATTTGCACTACATCTATTTGACCACAAGAGTACGCCACTGCTCTATCTACCGGGTGAAACGTTTCAGAGACGACAATAGAGCCTGCGCAAACTGTTGTAAACTGAAGTGATTATTAAATCTGCATCGATGTTTTTTCTTTTGCTTGTTATAGTTAAAATAATCGAGGTGATTATCGGCGCCAACATTATCACATTATTTTGTACACTGTCGACATATTCAATATAAGCTGGTGTAGTGAGAAATATGTGAGATAATGATGCGGATTAATTATCACAACAAAAAATAAAATATTATACAGACAGCCCGGAAATCTAATTTCTGTCTATAAAATAAAATACTCCACTTCATCGCTGCCGTGAAGCCTCGTGCTTCAACCCAAGTAAGATAAATAATTCTAAAGTCGTTTAAAAACATATGTATTTTCAGTTTCTTCTTCAAAAGGCCGTCGCGACTTTCCCACAAATCAACTTCAGTCGTAGGGTTTAAGCGGTTTGCCGTGCTTTTATTTTGAAGCCAGTGACAGGAAACTCTGATGCGCCTTTTTTTCTTTCAACTTAACTCCGGTGTTATGGTTTTCCCCGAGGCTGAAAAGGAAGACACAATGGCTTTCCGCGGCGAGGAAAAAGCTTATATGTGCAGGGTGGTACTGAAATGAAGACAGTCACACATGTCAAGCATACAGTGGAGACTGTGGCCGAGATAAGAGCGCACGTCCCCGGCCGTGGACCATGGGACTGACGCCGCTGCCGCCGCTGCTGCTGCTGCCGGTTTTGGCTCCGCTGTGGTTTGGCTCCGCGCTGCTCTGTGCAGGTGAGTGAGAGGGAAAAACAAGGCATTCATTCACTCACTGCGATTTTCATCATGTTTGTGTGTGTGTATCTATGTGTCTGTGCGTGAGCGCGCGTACACACGTACTGTTAACTCTGTACTGCAGTGTGAAAGTGATGTATCAGGTAGGTGTTAGAAATTGCCACATTTCATTGTCTACTGCTGACTCTTTCTCGCAGTGATTGTGTGTGCGCGCGCGCGCGCACGTAGAGTTATATGAACCAGTGGTGGTTTTCATTGCTGTGATTGTTTCCAGTGACAGGATGGCTCTCAGTGTGCAAGAAACCTGCGAAGGTATCGATCTGTGGTGGATAAATGATCAGACTGTGTGTACAAACATGGACGCTCACCCACTCTCTCTCCCACTCTCTCTCTCCCTCTCTCTCCCCTGCTCTGAGTGTGATGCTGCTCTCAGCATTACATCATCACTGCTTCCCTGCAACCTTTCAATCTCTCTCTTTCACACCCTGAGCAATCTCCTCCCCCACCCCCCCACCCCCACTTCACTTTGTACTCTCCATGATTCACTGAATAATTATTCAAACCTTTGGTTGGGATGTGTGTGTTTTATGGTGAAATCATCAGTTTTAGCTGGAATTTAGACCAAGGTGAAGGTAGAGTAAGCTGGAATTTCTATGTAAATAAAACCTCCCACTTTACAGTGTCACAGGTTGTTTATTTGATGCTGTCTGTAGTAGAGAGAATGGTAGATTTTCTATTGTTTTCATGTTTTGGTCTATTATTATATTATTATTATTATTATTATTCTACAGTCCCCACTTCTAGTTGTTACTAAAATCCGGTCACAGTGAGACACTGACTCACTGTGGATCCTCAGGCTCTGCTTCAAGTTTGGATTAAAATCTCAAATGAAGTTAAGCTTTTTTTTTTTTTTTTAGGCTGTAAAAATGCTGCTATTGTTCAAGCATCTTTCCTTTTTCCTCACACAATAACACACACACACAAACCCCGTAAACCCACCCCCACCCACCCACTTATAATGTTGTCATCGTTTACAGACTATGCAGATGTTGTTGCCCAGAGAGCGGATGTCCTGACTGTTATCCCAGTGAATCTAGAGTCTGTTTATTCCATTATTTCATCACCAACAGCCACTCCGATGACCATCACTGGATTAGATTTCCTTGTAGGTGAAATAACACCACGACTAAAACCTCAGCTCAGCAGTTTTTTTCTCCCATAAAACCTGATGTGATGTAAAGTTTCTGTATGTTGTGATGCCTTCATCAAATTACACAGGTGCAGAGGGAAGTCGTTCAAATGTTTAATCAGACACAGTCACTGCTGCCACGTTAGAACATGATGTTATGGTGGTATCAGTGTATCTGGCTGATAAATAAAAACATGACGTGCTTTGTCAAAATACCACCTTAAAAAAAGCAGCTTATATATAATTTAAATACAGTACAAATGTATGTTTCCAGGTCGATCTCCAACGCAGGGAACAAAGTAATTACCTCATGAGAAAGTGGATAATACTTTGTCAATACAGCCACTAAAATGGAAGAAGGAGAAGGAAAAAAAAAGAAAATACACTGAGAGAAAATGAGCCAAAAAATTAAATGTCATTGTATCCTACACAAGAGTGAACAAAATAATCAGTGCTATTGAACCTTTAATGCTGTGAATCTCCTCAGTAGATGGTAAAGATCCAAGAGGCTAAGATTCAAAGTGTTTATTGTCTCATGCAGTGTAAAAAAAGGAAGAAACATTTTCTCTATAAAATTAAATTCTACCTCTGCTTTCCATTAAGAATGCCGAACATTTAAAAAACAACAACTAAGAACACGGTTAAAAGCAATTTGAAGGCAACATGTGCACAAAAAAAAACCCAAAAACAGTTTTATGTAGAACGGATAATTAGGTTTGTAATTAGGTTTGTAAATCAATGGCCTGGAAATCCATTCAAATCACAACAAACAAAAACAAACATCAGTTTTAGTGTTTGATACAAATTTGAAAACAAAACAAGAACTACTTCCTTTTTTCTTTTTCTTTTTAAAAAAGGGATGAATTTAAATTAATTTATTTCAGAGAGCGTTGATTAACACGTGTTACTTTCAAGGCTCAACACTACAGCATCCCTGAGTGAAGCCTGAGGAATCCCTCGTCTCCACCAAGCACTGGGCTCGTTCTGCTGACTGCACTGATCCATCAAAAAAAAAAACAACAAACTCAGCAGAAGTGATCAGCCTGACTCCTGCAGGTCACCACGGTGGAGCAGATAGACCTTTAATCCACACAGCTGAGGCCACGCCTCCACGAATGTGATGATTTACCTTTTTTTTTTTTAATGGTTGTTGGACGTGATCCTCAGCCACGTGGTTCATTTCCACATTAAGCAGCAGAGAGATGAGGAGGAGACGCCTGCAGCTCTGTGTCTCGTTCCTGTCTCATTGTTACTCAGGCATTTCCTGGCTCTGACATCCCCTGGAGTTCATTGTCTCCACAGGCCTGTGCGCCTCACATTGTGTTGATCCCTGTGGCAGGGTGTGATGGATGGAAGAACACTGTGTTGTTGCTTTGGGTCTTTGACTGTTGCTGCATCCTCTTTGGTTTCCATGTGAGGTGCAGAAAGGAGAGAGGAGGGGATTGTTTAGGTTGTTTTTCTTCTTCCTGATCACAGAGACGAAAGTTTAAAAAAAAAAAGTGTGTTTGTCTGTTCTGGCAATAACAATGTGGAGGATGATTAATTCTCAAGAACAGCGGCTCTGGTTTCTGAAACATTGATCTTATTTCTCTGTGTCTCTGAGATCAGTCCGTCTCTCCCGCTGCCTTCATCTGTTATTGGCTGCAGGGCGCGATGACATCAGTTCCTCGGTTGGCACGAAAACGCTCTGACATTTAGTCATTCACACGTCACACTTTAGAACAATTAGGTCTTCAGATAACCTTTTTATTTTATTTTCACCTGGACTGACTGGTATTTCAAACGAGCAGATTAGAGGAGCGGCTGCTGCTGGGTTGAAGTTAAGACGTCAGGGTAAATTAGTTTGGACGTGTCGAGTGGAGACAGTGGATTTACTGGACAAAGGATGTTGGAGATGAAGCTGAGGGACAGGAGGGGGGAGAGGAAGAACCTCAGATAAGATAAGTGGTTTTAGTGACATCATGAAGGTTGATATGAGGGTCAGTGAGGTCAGGGTGAGGTGGTCAGCGGTGGACCACCACATGGGATGTAAACAGAGAACATGAATGCTTTTACTAGTGGTTCAAACTGGTGATTTTCTGAAAAAAATGAAAATTATTTATATTTAACAAAAAAATGTTAAATTAAATAAGAAAAAGTCAAAGTCCAGTCTGTGTTAACAACAAAAATGCTGACATTATAAATATGTCAGTATTATGGCCTAAACTGACCTTTGACTTCGGTATGTCGGTATTATGGCCTAAACTGACCTTTGACTCATGTTGAAGAAAGTTATGAGAATATTATTTTTGTTTTGTTTTAGGTCATTAATTTAAAAAAAAATTGTTGTTTTTTTCTACACATCTGATATTAATAATTTCACAATTAATTATTAAAATTAAATAACATAGTTACTGGGTGTCACCGAGTTCCTTTAAAGGCATCACATTTTTCAATAATTAATTTATTGTTAAAACTAAACCAAAATAATTCTATTCATTTTATGTTGATTGAAAGGTATTTCTGCCTCCACATCATTTTATATTTTGATTTAACCAAACCACAAATAAAGCGATTGATAATAAGTGAATACATTTACTGGAACGATTCATACAAGAGATGATAAGTGATGGATCTCTGTGCCTCCCCTCTCTTCCTGTCCCTTTTGTCACCATCAGGCTGCAGTGAGCAGGTGGAGGTCCACACGGAGCGCAGGGGCGTCATCTACAGCCCCTCCTGGCCTTTAAACTACCCTGCTGGAGTCAACTGCAGCTGGCACATCCAGGGAAGTCAGGGAGAGGTCATCACCATCAGGTTGGATCTTCATTTTATGGACCTTGATTTTTCTCCAGTGACACAGAATAAAAGTAAAAACAGAAGAAAAAAAAATCCACAGAAAAAATATATACGCTTCACAAAATTGAGTATTGAGAGGTGGATGTTGTATAATTTATATTATTTTTATATATATATTATTTAAAACATTGAATTGTAGTAATTTATGGCCTTTTGTACTGGTCGATATCATTATTTATTTATGAGGAGTTAATCAAAGTGATGAGCAGTAGAGATAAAATGTTCTAGAATCTCATGCTGCTTGTACTGTATATATTGTCCAGTAGCGCCCACCACAGGGCAGATGTGGAACAACAGGTTTGTACTGTATCTGTAAATCATTATTTTCTTTGTTAAAAATAAATACAGTTGTGTGATTTTATTTTTTTTTTCTAATCTCTAATTATTGAAAAGGAAGTTTCTCTTCAGTGTCATTGATTTTATTGTTTTTCTCTAGTTTCCGTAACTTTGACCTGGTGGAGTCAGAGAGTTGTTTGGGAGACTGGCTCATGCTGACTCCGGTGAAGAATGGAGACTTCAGGCTCTGTGGCTCAATACTGCCGCCGCCTGTTATCTCCACCAGGGGGCGTATGTGGCTGTACTTCCATTCTCAGGCCAACAGCTCTGGGCAAGCTCAGGGCTTCCGTCTCTCATACATCCGAGGTGGGAAACAGAAATCAATCAGTCTGATCCATAGATAATGAAAACGTTTTTTTCCTAAAGTTCTTTTACCGTTAAACATTTTGATGCCAATAACGGCCACCGTGTCCCTCCTGCTGCAGGTCACCTGGGTCAGAGCAGCTGTCAGCAGGATGAGTTCCTGTGTGGCAATGGCAAGTGTCTTCCTCGCTCGTGGAAGTGCAACGGTCAGGATGAATGTGGCGACGGAACCGACGAACGCACGTGTTCCCCTCCCCCCACCGAGGCTCGTCCTGGCCGCTGTCCCATTGGGTCGCTGCCGTGCACCGAAGCCCTGTCAACCCGCTGTCTTCCCGCGACCCTGCGCTGCAACGGAGCCCGGGATTGCCCCGACGGCACCGATGAGTCCAGTTGCCCCGACACCACCTGTGGCAAACGTCTGGGCAACTTCTACGGTTCCTTTGCTTCACCGGATTTCTTCCGACCTAACCACAGTGCTGCCACGGAGCTCAGGTGCTCCTGGCTGCTGGACACGCAGGACCCCAAACCCATTATGCTGCAGGTGGACCTGCAGCTGGGGCCGGGGGATTCGCTTCACGTCTACGACGGCCTCCTGCAGCAGGCCGAGCATCTGCTGCAGGTGCTGTCGCATCACAACAACAGACACATGGTGCTGCTGGAGTCCAGCAGGGGGCAGATGAGTGTGCTGTACAAGGCGAAGCCACACAGCCCTGGACATGGCTTCAACGCCACCTACCAGGTAGAGCAACCTGGACAGTCTGTATATATGGTGGAAATGTCTGGTATCCAGAGAATAATGGTGAAAAAAAATTATCGGTGTGAGTGAATGTCTTCATTTTTTTTTCTCTCCTCCAACCTTCTAGGTCAAAGGTTACTGTTTTCCTGGTGAGCATCCCTGCGGCAGTGACCAGGGCTGTTACTCTGAACGCCAACGCTGCGACGGCTACTGGCACTGCCCCTCCGGCCGCGATGAGGAGGCCTGTCCTGGCTGCCCTGACGGCGAGTTTCCCTGTGAAGGCGTTGCAGGAATATGCTACCCAGCCTCGGAGCGCTGCAACAACCAGAAGAGATGCCCAGATGGGTCGGATGAAAAAAACTGCTACGACTGCCAACCCGGGAACTTCCACTGTGGGACGAATCTTTGCATCTTTGAGACGTGGCGGTGTGACGGACAGGAGGACTGCTTGGACGGCAGCGACGAGAGAGACTGTCTGGCCGCGATACCCAGGAAGGTCATCACTGCCGCCCTGATCGGCAGTTTGGTCTGTAGTCTGCTGCTGGTCATCGCCCTGGGCTGCGCCCTCAAACTGCACTCACTCAGGAGCCGGGAGTACAGGTGGGCCCGGCTGTGTGTCAGAGGTCATCTGTGTGTGTCTGAGGTCATCTGTGTGTGTCTAAGGTCATCTCTGTGAGTCTGAGGTCATCATGACAGGAAACTTTCCTTTTCCCTCTTTCCACTCACCCTTGTCTGATGTCATCTGTGTGTCTGAGGTCATCATGACAGGAAACTTTCCTTTTCCCTCTTTCCACTCACCCACTGACACCTGTGTCTGCAGGGCTTTTTTTCCTTTTCCCTCTTTCCACTGACACCTGTGTCTGCAGGGCTTTTGAGACACAGATGACTCGCATGGAGGCGGAGTTTGTTCAGAGAGAGGCCCCTCCCTCCTACGGTCAGTTGATAGCCCAGGGCCTCATCCCTCCTGTAGAGGACTTCCCAGTTTACAACCCCAACCAGGTACTGCATTCAGTCACACACACGTCAGTCATAAATGTATGGTCTTGTCAAGATCCCAGAGCTTTTTTTCCTTTGACTGTTTTAACCACTTTCCAAATCACGACATTCGTAGGTACTTGTGAAGTTATGACTCTTTTCTGTATCTTAAAAAAAGGTATCATTGAAATTTGAGTTGCAGTCCTTCTCAAGTTTCAAGAAACTTTTTAGGCAGAACATTTTTAAGATTTAATTTAAATGTATATTAATTAAAATAATGGCAATTATAATATTAGTTATTATAAATGTCATTATGTTATGTATATATTGCATAAATGTGTATTTATAAATAAAAATAGAATAAGCTATATATGTATGTATATGTAAATACATACATATATATGTACCTTCTAAAGGTTGGATGTGTAAGTTTGGCCAATGGCTTGTTACTACAGTCAGTCTGAGAACAAGATACGGTTTTGTGTCATTTCTCGTACAGTGTGTTTTTATTTCCTGCGTTTCTTTTTACTTCTTTGTAGAGAGTGAGTTTGAGGAATGTCTGCTGAAGGATTTTGTTTCTTTCTGGACAGTGACACAGTACAGTTTCCTCTCTGTTCTCTGACTAAAGGCCCTAGAGCGGGAACTAAACCACTTCCCTTCAGCTTATTCAGACCGTAGTCAGAGATGTGCACTTCAGTGGTGCAGACATCCTTTTTTTTTTTCCAGAGAAAATGGTTTACTAATGCCAAACTTTGGGTTTAAAATTTAAATTTGAAGCAAAGAATGCTTCCGTATTGTCAAACTCTGGGTTTAAAATTGAAATTTGAAGCAAAGAATGCTTCCGTATGCCCCCCGCAGGTCTCCATGTTACAGAACTTGCGACTGGCCATGCGCAGACAGATGAGACGCCACACAACACGGCGCACGTCCTCTTCCTCTTCTTCTTCCTCCTCGTTTGAACGGCACCTGGGGCATCTGTGGAGTCGCCTGTCTCGGACTGGAGGCAGAGTCAGAGGCCACGCCCCGTTGCAAGATCCCCCGGGTCCTACTCAGATCATCCTGGGGCTCCACAGCTACCATTCCATGGGGGAGATGGGTGCTCAGGCTAGGAGTTGTGGTCAGATCCAGAATGAAGCCGACAGCGTTGGTATCGCAGGCTGCAGATTCTCAGACTCCATGAACCTGCAGCCCTGTACACCAGAGAGCCCCGCGTCTCCTCTCTCCTCACAGTCAGCCGACAGTCCAGAGGACGAGGAGCTTTCTCCTGTCAGAAGGGGAGCGTCCAGGACTCAACAACTTCCGCCTCCCACTGCTGGTCTCACCGTCTCCTCAGCCCACAGTGGACATCTCACAACGTTACACGAAACCTCAGTGCCCACGTCTCGAAAGCTAGTTTTTGAGCTCGCAGTTAACTGCAAAGGTGTGTCGTTGAGACGGTACTCCCCCGTTGGACCTTTGTCTCCTGTCTCACCTCCTGTGTTTCCTGGTAGCTCTCAAACTCCGTTAACACATTCACATCCACAGAGTCCAGGGGTGACTTCACCGACGGAGTCTTTGTCTTCTTTTTCTTCCTCGTCTTCTTCCTCTGTGAAGACAGAGGACAGTCATCTTAATAACAAAGTGCCAAGAAGGAAAAACAGGAAGGTTAGAAAGAGGGATGAAAAGAAAAGGCTCTCGTCCTGCGGCAGGACTCTCTGCGATGAGAGGGGAGACTCAGGGAGGGAGGACACTCCATCCTGATGACTTCAGGAAGGACACTCCACATTCTTTCAACCTTGATACGGCCTGGTGTTAATAAAATCAGTTCAGCTAAAGTGTCCTTGAAAAGTGCCCACAACTCATCGACAGGTCAGACCTGAACCCTAGTTGGACACATGGAGGAGCTGCAGTCTCAGATTTAATAAAAACTAACAAAAACAAACATCCCTTCTATATTTTGAATGCTTAAAAACTGGCTTAAAAATAAAAAAGTAAATCAGTGCCTACTTTACTAAAAAAGCTCCTGAGTCTTCATCTAAACTACTGGACTTTTGCTCAATTTTTATTTTTTTTGCTTTTTTTTATGTGGTTATTTGAATCATATTTAAATTACAACAGCAATTAGTCTCCAGTCTGGAGACTTCTACACTTTTTGAAGCACAGACCACTGGGAGTCCCAGCGAAACTATGCTAGCATGCTAGCTAACCACCTCAACTGTGTTTTAACGATGACCCTCGCTCGCTCAGGCATCGAGTTCTTATGTCTGTCTCACGTCAATGGTGGAAAAAGTCTGATGTCATTCAGACTGAGGTGTCATTTAAAAACTGCTGACACACGTCTGATTCATGACAACATTAGAGTGTCCTGGACCGGATTTGAAAAGTCATCAGAGTTGTGCCGTTCACACCATTATTACAAAACAAAATCAGATTGGGAGAAGGAATTGGATGTGGGCCAGTTTGGGCTGCAGTCTGAACACACCCTTAAGTAACACAGCTAATTACTGCAGTGCTCGTGCGTAATAAATCTCACTGTGTAGTTTCCTGGTAATACTGTTGGGACAAACACTTGTGTCGATGGAGGCAACACTCATTTCTGGACGTCACTATGGAAACAACAGCGGCAAAATGGTTGCCAAAGCAGTTCTGTGTTGTTGTTACTCAGAGCCATGAGAAACCGTCATTTACTGTGAACCTCAGAGCCTCTGCAGCGATCACTCGTCCGACCTGATGTTTTTATCGTTATTCGGATCAATCAGCCACCTTTCCGGACTGTTCTAAATGGATGGATGGATGGGTGTCACTTTGACTTTTTTATGTTAACCGTATTTTTGTTATCAACCAAATCTACCAACAGAAGCTCATTACTGCTGTTCAACAGGTCGTTGTACTCTGTATATTATTATACAGAGGTTTACTGTTTAAACCAACACTGTTGAAGTCTATACAGTAATATAGTATATACCATCACTACAATGAACATAATGAACTGGCTTTTTTTTTTCTTTTTTGTCTTTGTACCTTTGTTTGTGCACCTGGTACTACTGTTCAAATGTGAAAGTACAGTAGATTTCTGCTTGAATTTATTCTAGCTTACGTTCTGTCTTTACATCTTTTCTTTTTGATATTTTAAATTTAATTATTTTTCTTGGCTTCTTCATATCAGCGTCAACATTCAGCTACTGTACAGATTTACCCAGCAGCGCTGCGGACAGTGAAACCTAATGTTGCCCAAAATCTCTTCAGGTTTTGCTGTCAGATTATAACTTCAAGTTACAACATACGGTCAAAAATATTCTTCAACATAAACGTCAAATAAACCCACATTCACGTAGCTGTAGCAAACGCCACAAAACATCGAATGATAACTAAAGAAAAATCGAAATTAAATAAACAAACTAGCAGGTAAACCACTAAAAGTTCTCAACGGTCTCTGTGTAACTTACGGAGCTAACAAGTGCTACTTCCGGTTTTTTAGTCATTTCAAAATTAGAGCTCGTACTTCAAAATAAACAATCGGCTGCAACAGTTGTCTACTGGATTTTAGAAAAACTATACGTATCTTACCTTTATATGACTCTGACACTCTGGGTTCTAAAGGTCAAACGTTCTCGTCCTTGGAAACCAGACAAGGTCACAAACTAACAGGGTGGCTTATTTTATTTTATTGTCTTTAATGTAAATGCTGCAAGAGTTTTGTCTTTTTATCGAAATTTGTTCACAACAATAAAATACCAAATATCAATAATAATACAATATAGTTTCACAATGAGCTGAATGTAAGACATGGGAGGAGCTCTCTCCTTACAAACACTATAACATATATCACATTAAATGTAACTGTATGGATGTAAGTCTTCTGACACCTGATGTCACTGTTTATTGAGTTAACAATACAATTTAAAGGGAAAGAAAGTGACAAAGCAATAATGTGTAACCACCCAGTTGACACCTGGTTCCAGCTGACATCATCGTCTATCATGATTGGTTAAACAGACAACTCCAAGTCACATGGAGACCACTGGTGCACAGTCTACTGTCAGTCACTGGTAAATCAAACCAGGAATAACATAAAAATGGTTGAATAGTTACTTCTTTTCAGACAGAGCACTTTGTGTCTTTTTTAAAAAATGAATTTTTACTCTTCTTGGTGCCATGATGGAGATATATTTAGCATGCCGCTAAAGCTGGCTTTATTAAAAAAGATGGCTTTTATTCACAGATGGCAGGAAGTATAATGCTAATGTAAAATTACTTTTATTTTCTTTTATTTCGGAGATAAGAGCGCTGGCAGTAGAACATTGTTCCGACGTGTTTACTGTGGTCATCTTGTCAAAGTTTGAAAATGAATGTAAATGTGTTACCTGTACTTTTAAGACATTGCCATGTGACTTTTCACGCTTATCATATGACTTTCTTTCTTTCTTTTTATTTATTTATTTATTTTATTATAGTGGTAATAGAGTCTCATACTACACATGGACAGTGATTATTTCATGTCAGGACAGCGAGTGCCAATTAAAAAATACCGTGACAGGTAAACTCAGAACACATAGTGACCTCGAGGTTTTCTGTTATCAAGTCAGATAAATATATTTCCGTTACTACAATGGTATAAAGGCGTCTTTTTACCTTAAAGGCCCAGCAATAACATAAGAAACCAGAAAACTCACTAGAAATCATTCACTGTAGATTTAATTTTCCACTTAGTGCATGAGTTGATACTGTTATTGTCAACCCACCTTTCTTGCAAACACAAATAATCATTGTTTTCTACTACAGTGGTTCCCATCTGATGGGCAGTACACAGTAGTAGTAAGTATATTGATGCATTATCTTTAAATTAAGTAAATTATTTATGCTTCATTTTTAAATGACCCATGGACCTGTATTGGTCTGGGCACCGAGGGTTGAGGAACCCTGAGTCAATGCAGCCTGGACTGCTGCTCCTGTATAGTACTGTGTGTGGCAGCAGAGGTTTGTCAGGATATCACATCTGATGCCTCTGTTTTTCAACTTCCTTCTCTATTTTCCATGTATTTCTTTTTCTGCCTTAAAGTGACTTTTTGATGGTGGACATCTTAAGGAACGACACCACTAACGAAAGTCTGTTTATGTGAGACTGAATGTAGTGAAACAGCCACTTAGTTTGGCCCCTCCTGCAGTTATCAAACAATTATTTTATCTATTTTATTTCCTTTTTTTCACTCCTTTCCACCGATGTAGTTTCTGTTCTCCATCTACTGCTTTAACTGCTGCTTTACTTAAAGTGAGCTGAATGTGGCATTTTTTTTTAAAATCTTTTTTTTTAATTATTTGTAAACTGCTGCTACGCTTCTGTGCCATTTGACATGTGTTCTCGGCCCAAAGACTAATTTCAGTTTGAGGAATTTAGCTGTTTAAACATTGCTCTGTGGTCCACGTAGGTGAAACGGATTCAGTGTGAAACACCAATGTTTCATTGGACTCTGGGGGAGACCTTCGCTCTGTGTATGTAACATTTATTAAATGAAAATGACTCTTGGGAAAACGCTGGTCCATTTCTGACGCTCAACTTTATTTCTCATGGCAGGTTTCCTGTCAACACACTGTCTCACGTAGCTGAATACACTGGATCAACGCCATTCAGAAACACAGCCTCTCTAAAACGGGCTGTCTGATTGTGACCTCTCTGGAATACCTTGAATTTTCTTTTCTGGTCAAAGACTGTAGTTTAATAAAAGTCTTCTTGTATTTATATATATATATATTTGTATATTTACTGCTGGAAGTGGAAAAGCCCTCAGGACACTGTGAGGTTTTCTGATCAAAATGCTGTATCCATATAAAGGCTGTGTTGATTATTGGTTTTTGTGCCAACAGTTATTAAATTCCAAGCGTGTCATCATTTCTTGGTTATTTCAGTGTGTAATTGTAAGACAACAATATTTTATAACTTTTTATCTGTTATTTATCAGCTGGCAATTTCTTACATAATCTATATAATATATATCTGAGCTATAATTATTTTAAAATACCTTTTTTAAGGTATGTATGAATTCAGCCCCAACTCCACAAAAAAAAGTAGAGCTAGCTTTACATTATGCTAACTTTAGCATTGAGCTTTATGTGTTGTTTCCATAGCTTAAAGCAATTATTGGCTTTCTAAAAAAACAAAAAACAAACATTTGTCATTTTTGGCTACATCTGAGCTATGTCTTCGGAAATCTGGAATTAATTTTAGACAAATTTCCAGTTTTCTCTACCCTAACATAACCATAATTTCCACAGCTTGCTTCTTAGCTTAGCGTGTTAGCATGCTTTCGCGTAGCCTCAGCCCAACACTTAAAACATTTTTCAGGAGTTGCTATATTTAATGAACAATTACATTGTTATTTATGTCTCAAAAACAAAATGACACATTTACAAAACAAGAGTTCCATCCATTAATAGTATGTCAATGTAAAAACATGTCTGTGGAATGATCTACGCAGGAGCCCTTGGCACATGTGTAACAGTCTTTCAACAAGTATGTCAACCAAATGGACAGTCCCTACCATCGCAAACAGACATGTTGTGTTTTCATGTGCGTTTGTCCTGTGGATTTGATGCAAATGGAGAAATCCAGCATGTTGGTCCTGGAGAAATGAGCCATAGTTTGAGCTCAACTCCAATGTTCTGGTTTACATTACATGTAAATCGTATCCTCTGTACCTTCTGTTCGGTTCACAAAATAAGCAGCTTAGAGAAGTGACATAAGTTATTATCCCCATACACAGGTCATCAAATTAATACACAGTACCACGTTGGGGAGGGGGGGGCACCATTACCCTAATTTAACTTTAAGGATGGGACAGAAGAAGAACAACGAGCATATGGTTATAGTTTCACACTACGGTGGTTGATGATGAAGAGGCTCGGCCAGGGGTCGCTGCTGCGCTGATGTGTGTCTTTGGTGAATTGGGAGCAGATTCACATACAAGGAAACTTCCACTCATCCATTCACTGACCTGTAAAAATAGATTCTGTACCAAAGATCCGTAAGAGTAACGCTGCTGATGTGAGATCTTACAACAAGAGTTAGTTCCGCTTCAAGACATTCACATGATACTTGGATTCTAGTACCTGCGTTGGCAGCTCAAGCATCCAGTTGAATTCACAGTTTCACAACAGTTGACTGTTGAAAAAAATATGGAAGACCATCATTTCTTTTGCCGTATGTATAATAACTTAGCTTATTGGTTTCGGAAAATGTGCAAACATTCTCCAAGCTTAGTGTAAAAACTGTTGTAAATATGGCAGGGGGAGAGGAGAGTCAAGTGTGGG